ATGCTTCTTTTTCTATGTCTGCTTCTGTCTCCTTGAACCCCAGTGGGCCTCAGCAGATGGCCGCTCACACTGAGCCTGGTTCTGCTGAAGGTTTATTCCTGTTAAAAGGGAGTTTTTGCTCTCCACTGTCGCTCCAAGCATGCTTAGTGTGAGGAATTGCCTTCGAGTCAATGAATCAATGCAATCAACTGTTTTTTTCTTAATTAGAACAAATTCGAATCAATCTGACTGTAAGATCTGGTTGAACTGTAAAGTGCCTTGAGATGATGTGATGTGAATTGGTGCTATAGAAATAAACTGAATTTAATTGAATGTTATGATGCTTTTATCAGTCTATCTTCCAGCCACAAAACCTGCAGATCTCATTTTTTGTTGTTGTGCAATTTCCTTCATCCAAGCCAAAAAAAGATATAAAACATAAAAGAAGAACTGTACTTTAAACCGAAGTTGTTCCCAGTCTATGTGGCAATTAGAAATCTTGTAATAAAGCCCATGAGAAAACCAAAAGGTTTTTGTTTTTTTACCTCCATGTTGCACTTATCCATAAATGCAAATTAGATACAGCTTACGGTTGTAAAGTGATAAATGTCACCCACTGTAGGGGTTGGCTTTAATCTGGTTAGTTGCTTCACTAACACCTAAAAGAGAGTCGAGGCACAAAATCAATAATTTTTAAAGGTTCATTATTTCATTACATTTAAATCCATAATTTAATCATTCTTATAAACTTGGGACGCAGAAAAAACACCAATTAATTTTCAATTTAAGAGTCTGAGAGTATCTGCATTGCAGCTAGGGGCCTCACACTTTCTCTTAAGATATGAGCAGAGCAGAGATAGCCTGTGATCCTATCCACTTAATGACCCTGGACTTTGTTATTTAGATAAACTGCTTATAAATAGGAGGCATATTCCTACGTTCTCTCAAAAGCTGCATGTTAGTCTCTTTAATCACAAAGGAAGCTAAAACGCTGAGAAATGGGAGACGTGGAGGGGAACCAGGAAAGAGAGGAGGTGAGCAGTCAGAGCAGGTAGGTGTCAGATTTGTTAACATTATAAAAAAAACAAAAACATAATCAGGACGATGGATGTATAGCTGTGATCTATAAAGGTAGAGGTGAGCAGCCTTAAATGTTTTATTATATATGCAAATTAATTCAAAATGTTCTGTAAAGCTTTCTGCTTTTCCTCCAGGATCAAGGCTGATCGTGGAGGTGGGGGCCAAAATCTAAAGCAGGAACCAAGCATTTATCTGGGCTGTCTGACCAAGAAACAGCTGATAATCTTATCAGTGGGTGTTGGACTTGTTATCCTCCTCATCATCGTCATTGTCCCTGCTGTGATTCTCACCAGACCAGGTACACCTCTCAGATTCTGTACTTTTACTGCAAATGACTGACAATCACCTGTACTACCAAGAACCTATTAATGCTAAATCAAATGGTAACTAATTCCATGACAAGTACAAGGGCAGAAGTGGGAATAATTTAAATCTGAGATAGCTTCTAGTTAAGCACTGTTACGTCCACCAAGGGCACAACATATTTGAGGACACGAGACAAAAAGATGAGGGTTCAACTAAATATTTTATTTATAAATTCTCTCCTCTTTAGTTTTCTTGGCTAAAGTTAGAGGCCCTCAGATCCCGTGCCCCAAAGGAATCAAAAAATAAAAACCCAAAAGTAACAACATAAAGTTGGACCTGGCAGGCCGATCAAACAGAACAAAACGGTACAGCAGGTGGCCAACCCTATACAGGGCCGTCGAAGCCCCTACTGGTACCGGACTAAAGCACAAAAATAAAAAAATCGAAAATAGGACAACCGGTCCCACCAGGCCAAAACCACAAGAAAAAAAAGTAAGCAACGGCTAACCAAAATACCGCATGGGAGGCTGGAACGTCCGCTGCGGGCCGCAGCGACAAGACAAGCGCGCACCGTGCACCGTGGAACAAGTGGAAGCAGGTGAAAAAGCGGCGTCCAGGTGAAGATGGGAAGGAACGCGCCAACATGCCGAAAGCCAGCCTATTTATAGGCGGACAACAGCACCACAAATTAACGTAATTAACTGGCCAAAAGAATTATTCAACTCCCAAAATATATTAACAAAAGATCCTTCAACTAAAGAAAAGAAATAGACAAAAATCATAATGTGCCCGAAGCACATAACAGCATCTTACGATGCTTCGAATTTAACATACAATTA